CTGATTGAATTTAGAGTCTAGTTTTCTTTTCTTTTGACATATTCTGATAAAAATGATACCTCTGATTTTAAAAGAAGTGAGATCTATAAGATAGCAAAACAACTGAAACAAAAAACTTGTTTTTCTAAATAAAAATCACATAGAACGTTGATGCTTTTAAAAACCCATATATAGAAAATAAGAGCCCTGTTACACTGCTTAAGGGCTGGGCAGCTAATGTCAAGGTCAATGATGGCATAAAAAATTTTAAAAAATACCTAACTCATTGCCATTGAGTTGATGCCAACTCATAATGACCCTTTGGAACAAGTTAGAACTGCCCTGTGATTTTCCAAGACTGTGAGTCAATGGACATAGAAAGCCCAGTTTTTCTCTGGGGGAGCTGTTAGTGATTTCAAACTGCTGACATTGCAGTTAGCAGCCCCGTGCATAACCACTGCACCATCAGGGTTCCCAATGACGACATAAACCTCCACTGCCACCAAGTCGATGCCCACTCATCGTCACCCTGTAGGACAGGGTAGAACTGCCCATGTGAGTTTCATGAGGCTGTAACTGTTTATAGGAGTAGAAAGCTCCATTTTTTGCCCGTGAAGCAGCTGATAGTTTTGAACTGCTGACTTTCTGGATCACAGCCCAACTCGTAACCACTATACCACCAGGGCCCCTTATACCAGTGGCATAGTTGTCAAAAATTGAGCTGCGAATTGAACAAGGTCAGCTCTTTGAACCTACCACTGGCTCCAAGGGAGAAAGATGAGATTGTCTACTATAAAGATTTAAATCTGAAAAACCCACAGGGTCACTTCTGCTTTATCCTATAGGGTCACTATGAGCTGGAATTGACTTGATGGCAATGAGTTTGAGATTTTGGTTTGGTTCAAATCCCAGAGCCACTTCATGGGGAAAAGCTGTGGCAATCCGCTTCTGTAAAGACTCACAAGGTTGGAAACCCTCTGGGGCAGTTCTCTGTTCTGCAGGATTCACTGAATCAGAATTGACAGCATGCAACAATAATGGATAGCAAATATTACTGTAAACACAGTAGTAAACAAGGCTCCAATTAGGGTTTAAAATTGGTTTAATTGTATACGCTTTTTAAAACTATAGTGATATTGATGGATAAAGGAGTCTAACGTCTGTCTAAAAGCGTATACACTTAAACTTTACAAACGCATCAGTAGTATCCTTTTGGGGGAAAAATCAGTTTAGTAATTCATATTGAAAACTCTACATACTTATCTAATGCATATAGAATGTGCTCTGTCTTAATGATTTAGCAAATAGTGATTTATATTTTTTTAGTTTAAAGAGTTCTAATTTATATTTTTAACTGATCTCCCCATCCCTTACCCATACCATAAGAAGGAATCATGTCTCTTGTGAAGTTCATTATTGATTCTCTTTTAAAAACACTTAAATCCAGTTTGTGCTGAGACGATCTCCACAATCAAGATAATTGGAATATATCCATTACCCCAAAGTGTCATCGAGAATACACTTAAATTTTGGTTAAACCTTGTTACCATCAAGTTGATTTTGACTCCAGGTGATCCCCTGTCTATAGAGTGGAATTGGTGCATACAGCTTTGTTGTCAGTAATGTTTAAAGAGCAGTGTTGTCCAGGCTTTTCTTCCTGGCCCACTGAGTGGGCTTGTCTCTGTAAACTTTGAGTTAGTAGTCATTGTGTCAACTAGGGACATATTTTTTTTAACTCATGTATATATCTCTATTCTATAGCAAATGATCATTTTCTGGTAAGCTGGGACCATGTTATTCTTTATTCATAATCTCTTAATTTTTTTTGCCAAAATTGGCGATCCGAATAAGCCAAACTCACCACTATCAAGTCCACTATGACTCATAACAAAACTATAGGACAGACTAGAACCACCCCTACTGCTTTCTGAGACTGAAACTCGTAACGGGAATGCAAAGCCTCAATTTTCTTCCTTGGAGCAGCTGGTAGTTTTGAACTGATCTTGCAGTCAGCAGCCCAACTTGTAACCCACTATACCTCTAGAGCTCCTAGGCAAACAGGATCGTTTTATTAAATAAACAAACTGGAAAGAAACTTTCTGTTGAAAATAATTGCATATAGCACTCAATATTAGCCCAAGAATGTTAACTTTTTTCTGGAATGGGCTTACTTTTCTTTGTCCTAGTTGTGTGTGTGTGTGTGTGTGTGTGTGTGTGTGTGTGTGTGTGTGTGTGT